CTGCCTCTGGGGGTGGGGGTGGGGAGAGGGACGGGGAGGGGAGAGGGACGGGTAGGCTGCCTCTGGGGGGGTGGGGGGTAGGGTGAGCTTGGAGCGCCGGGTACCTGTCTCTGGGGTGGGTCAGGGGCAGGCTCTCGGTATGGATCCCCCTGCGTGCGGAGGGTCGAGTGGGGATGATGTAGGATCCCGCTTACCGGTCTCTCCCCACGCCCCCCGGGGGACCGCTCAATTCAAACGGAGCGCGCGGGCTCCGCTGTGCCGTGTGCGCAGGCGCTGCCTGAACCGGGAGAGAATCGGAGAGAGCGTGAGCGTGTCCCGGGGAGAGGGAGGGAGTGAGTGTGAACCGGGCCAGGGCCAGGTCAGTGGGAGGAAATGGTAACTATGTGCTTCCGTGTAACCACAGTCATGGCGAAGGCGGCAGACCCCGTGGGGAGGGGGAACAGTGAGAACGATAGTTGGGGAGGGGGGTATCTTCTGGAATGTTCGGAGACTGCAGTCCGAGTCTCTTCTCTTCTCCCTCCCCCCGTTGCTGCAAGTGCGGCCTCCAGCCTGACTAACTCGGATCCCGGCCTACCCTTTCCCTTTGTCAGCTCGACCATGTTCTGTCTGGGTTAACTCGCTTTGTCAATAAAGTTTTTTTTTTAAACGGGTGGGGGAAGGTGAGTAGTTTGAGCCCGGACGCGGGAGTTTTAAAAGCGGCGGCTCTGGTCTGGCTGGGAGCCTCCTTCCACCACCCTCCCCGGATATCGGGCTGGGAGCTCCTCGCTGGGGCCTGGTGCTGGCGAACCATCCAGAGTCACCATCTCCGCACCGTCACCTTACTGAGGTCTTCGCGCTGTTTGGTGTAATTCCTCTCGCTCTGTGTCTATTAACTCAGTCTCGCCATCCCCTCAGGAGGGTGCTATTTATTTAAAGTGTGTCGGGCTTGTGGGCGGTTTGTTGGATGACGCGGAGAGATTCAGACCTTTCAGCGTACTTGGGGTCCCGCACGAAGTTTCTCTGAGCCGGTAATTTTCCAACGTTTACACCATGGCGGAACTTAGGATCATCATTTTTTAAATATATAAACGTTTAATACAGTGCCCTTAGAACCGGAGAGGCGAGGAGATTTTGTTTTATCCTTGATACAGCGAGTTACGATGATCTGGAATAGTCTCGCCTGAAAGGGCGCTTAAAAGAGATTCAGTAGTAAAAGGAATTGACTCTAAACTCGAAGGGAAATGTTGCAGGGCCACGGAGATGGGGCTGGGCTATGGGATTGCTTCGAAACCTGTGCAGGCAGGACGGGCTGAATGGCCCGTTGTCTTCTAAGTCTGTGCTCTTTAAGATATAGCATGTGAATTGCAGCTATATCTTAGAAATCATAAGACACAAGATTGCTTTGATTTTGGATTTTGTTCCTGAATAATTAATTTATTAAAACACTGCACCAGCGAAACAGCTACTATTTAGAGAAGCAGTTATATTCCTAGAGATTGTTAGACATTAAAGAAAAAGAAATTTTTTGAATAGGTCTAGGTGTTCTGGTGCATGGGCCAAAGAATGGCAGATGGAGTTTAATTTGGATAAATGTGTCGGTGTATTTTGGTAAGGCAAACCAGGACGGGATTTGTACAGCTAATGGTAGGGCCCTGGGGAGTGTTGCCGGACAAAGACCTAGGAGTGCAGGTGCACAGTTCCTTGAAAATGGAGTCGTAGGTAGGTGGGGTGGTGAAGAAAGCATTTGGCACACTTGCCTTTATTGATCGGTGCGTCGAGTGGTCACGCTGCAGCTGTATGGGACATTGGTGAGGCCACTTTTGGAATAGTCTGTTCAATTATAGTCTCCTTGCTATAGAAAAGATGTTGTTAAACTTGAAAAGGCTCAGAAACGATTCGCTGGGAGTTTTCTGGGATTGGACAGTTTGAATTATAGAGAGAGACTGAATAGGCTGGGGCTATTTCCCTTAAAGCATCAAAGGTTGAGGGGTAAATTTATAGGACCTTATATCCTTGCATAAAATTATGAGGGGCATGGGGTAAATAGACACGGTCTTTTCCCAAGGATAGGGGGAGTCTGAAACTAAAGGGCATAGTTTATGGTGAAAAATGGACTGAGGGACATCTTTTTCATGCAGAGAGAGTGGTGAGTGTATGGAACGAGCAGCCAGAGGAATTGGGTACTATTACAACATTCAAAAGGCATCTGGATGGGTACAGGAATAGGAAGGGTTTAGAGGGATATGGGCGAAATGCTGGCAAATGGGACGAGATCAGTTTAGGATATCTGGTCGGCATGGATGAATTGGACCGAAGGGTCTGTTTCCATAACCCTTATGACTCTCATCACAAATACATGGTGCAGCTAAATCTCAGATGCTTTCAGTCACTGCATTTGTATTTGACTAACAGGGCTTGTTGTTGCTTGACAGGAATATCAGAATACAATGCCAGGAAAAAGATCAGTGAAAAGGTCAAAAGATAATGAGGACGGAACGGAAAGTGACGAAAGTAAAAAGTTAAAGAGTGAGTATGTTCAGGTGCTTTGTGAACTCCAGCTAATTTGCAATGTACCTGGATTTAAATGTGCTCTTGTTAATTTTTTCCTGGGTTGATTTTAAACTTTTTGCTTCAAGTAAATAGTAATGGTTTCTCTTTTTATTTAACTGAGGTAGATTGATTTATTTGTATGATGTGAATTAAGAGCTGAAGTATGTCATTTGGCCCTTGAGCCTGCTCTGCCATTCCATAAGAACGTGGCTGATCTGTTTGCTTTTCAAATTCCACGTTTTGTATTTACCCTCAATGACCTTAGATTTTTTTCAGTCAAGGAATCAGTCTCCTTCTGCCTTAAAAATATTTAGTGACACACGTTCTCAAAAGGAAAAAAAAACGCATTATGAATCAAGCCAATTGTTAGTTTGGATTTACGTTTTGCAAGCATTTGGTTGTCTAGAATAAAATGTAAGTTTTGGCACTGACTGATTCACTTGAATGGGTAATCTGTGTTTCACCGGAAATCCATTCTTGCTTTTGAGTCAAAAGGTTGAGGCTACAAATCCCTCACTAAGCACTGGATTCTCTGGTGCAGTACATCTTACCAATGAGATTTTAAACTGAGATCCCCATCTCGTCTCAAAGGGACAATAGTAATGGGATTATTTCACAGAACAGCTGGGGAGTTTTCGCTGGTTTTCTTCCTAATATTTTATCTTTCAATCAACATCGCAAAAATATTTTGATTGTGTACACATTTGCAACATGTGGAAGCTTGCTAAGGACAAATTGGCTGCTATTGCTACATTACAACCATAACTATATTTCAAAACTACTTCATTAGCTGTAAAGTGATTTTGAAAGTCTCGAGGTTTTGAAATGTATTATCTCTATGCAAATCATTATGATACTGAACCATGTGGCACACAGTGAATCTAGTGGTTCCCCTGGCTTTTGCCTAATGGTAGGGCAGGAGGTGTAGAACAGCTATGTGCTGTGATGTGTTGGGAGTTTTAGATGAGGAGAAGGGAGTGACATATTGTGTCCTTGTGCCACAAGATAGATGGGTATCCATTTGTGAATTTTCTTTGTATGAAAAGGACTATTTCAAGTGAAATCTTTTGGAACATGGTCTTTTAGTAATGTCTGTTGTTTCAGCTGGTGTTCAAATAGTGGGCAAAGCAGAACTTTCCTGTCCAAAACTCCATGAAAGGCAATAGTGGGTATTGCATGATGCTGCATTGCATCCTGTGTTGGAGATAAGGATGCAGTGTAAATTTATAAACTCTGAGCAAGTGAGAATTATTATTGCCTTCCTACCAGATTGGCAAATGTTGCTAATTCCACATTGTATATTCTGCATGTTGCTGGTTTAGTTTTACTTGTTTGCTTCGAAATGGAAACTGTTGGTAAACTGGTCAATTGTATTTTTCCCCATTTTTTCAGCAATCTCCCAACCAGTTGTACAAAATTGGTCAATCCATTCTGCAACTATGACTTGGATGGCACTGGCTGTTAGTTTCAAGAGTGAAGTGCAAATAGTCCGACGCTTTCTGAACTACATCATCTGTCGAGCAGAGAAAAGTTCTGTGATCAGGAAGTCATAGAATCATGTAGGTGTACACCACGGAAACAGACACTTTGGCCCAACTCGTCCATGCTGACTAGATATCCGAAAGTAATGTCCCATTTGCCAGCATTTCGCCCATATTCCTCTCAACCCTTCCTATTCATATACCCATCTAGATGCCTCTTAAATGTTGTAATTGTATAAGCCTCCACCACTTTGTCTGGCAGCTCATTCCATACATGCACCACCCTCTGTGTGACAAAATTGTCCCTTAGATCCCTTTTAAATCTTTCCCTCTTACCTTAAACCTATGCCCTCTAGCTTTGGACTCCCCCACCCCGAGGAAATGACCTTGCCTATTCATTCTATCCATGCCTGTCATCATTTTAAAAACCTCTAAGGTCACCCCCCAGTCTATTCAGCCTCTCCCTATAGCTTAAACTCTCCAACCCTGGCAACATCCTTGTAGATCTTTTCTGAACCCTTC